GGGTAGAAAGCTCACCGGAAGCACTTTTTCATCAAAAAAAGATGGCGGCGCCCAGCAAACCAGCGGCCCGGTAGGACTTGTTCCACAGACCGGTACCGGTCCGCAGACCGGTGGTTGGGGACCCCTGCTTTAAATGATGTTTCTGCTTTTATATTCTGAATATGCATGGTTTTAAATTAAAGCTTTTGAAATATACGTATATGAATGTACAGGCTCACCGTAACAGCTTTGAATTTTGATGAGTGGATTATCACATCCTTCTTCATCAGTATATGTAAAATTGCGTCGTGAATGGTCAGAAAAAATATGGATGGCTTAATTTCCTCATCGAAAAATCCACACCTCTGTAGCTTCTCCAGGAGACCATCTTTTTTTGGGGAGGGGGAGGGTGTAGATTGGGGGGGGGGAATGAAAGGGAAAAGAAAGGTGGAAGAGGGAGAGAAAGAACCAGAATTACAAGCAGGGGTGGGATTTTACCAGTTCGGACCGGTTCTATAGAACTGGTTGTTATGATTCTACTCAGTTTGGAGAACCAGCAAATTGTGCCCATGGCTGACCCCGCCCCTCTCTGGCCACCCAGTCAGTATTTATCGTGCATGTGCAACATCGTGCGCATGCCCAACATCACTGACTGCATTCTCCCCTGCCCAGTCACTCCTAAAGGTATTTCTTTTCCCTCCTGATGATCAGCTGTGCCGGGATCAGCTGTTCCTTTTTTAAAAAATAAATAAATTTTATTAAGTTTCCAAATTTTAAAAACATAAAATAAAACTTTATACATTGTTGTCAACATCAAGACATCTTTTGCATCTCCTCACATTTTTCAGTATATGTATTTACTTATTACTTTACCATTACATCTTACTCTTACTAAAAATCAATATCTTTTATCCTTACATCTCAATCTTCTCCATGGTATATTTACATATTTACATGTTCCCTCATTCTTTTCCTAATTGACATTTTCTTTTCTTTTTATTTCTAAACCATTCATACCAGACATCCCAGGCCCTATAATAAATGGAATCTTCTCTTTTATTTTCATCGTTAGCCTGTCCATCTCTATACAATCTATTATTTTTTTTATAACCATGCCTTCTGGTGGAACCCTTTTTTCCTTCCAGAGTTGTGCATACAAAATCCTTGCAGCTGTTAATATATGTAACATAATATATCTATCTGTTTTATTGCATTTTTGTGTTATTATACCTAATAAAAAAGTTTCCGGATTAAATTCAATTTTCTGATTCGTGATTTCTTCTATCCATTGTCTAATTGTATTCCAATATTTTTTCACTTCATGTCCACCAGGTATGAAAATAAGTTCCAATGATCAGCTGTGCTGGGATCCCCTTCGCTGTCTTACTGCTTTGCCTACGAGGCTTCCCTGAGCCCCAGGAAGCCAAAAAATAAAATAAAAAAATGGCGGGTGGGGGGTGTACTGCAAAAAAGAAGAAGAAGCCAAGCCCACCCAGTCACATGGCCACGCCGGTTGTTAAAGATTTTGAATCCCACCCCTGATTACAAGCCTAGAAAATGATGTAGCTAATTCTTAAACAGGCACTCTTTGACTTAACAACCGTTCATTCAGCGGCCTCTGGAATTTACGAATGGCACTGAAAAAAGGGACTTATGACCGTTTTTCACACTTACGACCAGTCCAGCATCCCCCTGGTCATCTGATCAAAATTCAGATGCTTGGCAACTGACTCATATTTATGATGTTTGCTGTGTCACATGATGCCCTTTTGCGACCTAACCAGCAAAGTCAGTGGGGAAGGCAGATTCGCTTAACAGTCATGTTACTAAGTTAACAGCGGGTGCAAGAAAGGCCTAAAACTCACTTAACAACCTGTTCTATTTAGCAACAGACATTTTGTACTCAGCTGGGGTCATAAGTGGAGCGTATCTTTATCATTTAATTTGTTCCACGTATTTACTTTTGGATTCAGTATCTCATTTTCAGGAGTACGGTGATTTACTTTTTTTAAAAAACAGTTTTTTAAACACACACACACACACATATACAGCACACACACACACACACACACACACACACACACACAGTATTGTTTTACATGGGCATCTGTACCATTTCCTTTTAATGAGACCATAATCCCTTGCGGGGCGGAGTCGGGGCAACTGAATGGAGCTGAGTGTTTTATTGGCCAGGTGCCCTTCCTGTCACTGATACGGAGTTATATTCAGCAGATATATTCTCAATGTGAGAAAAATATCTGCTTCTATCTATGTTCCTGATGGCGAGGTGAGAGCTCCACCTCTAGGCCACCGCACCACTCACGTGGGCATCTGTATGGGGGTCATAAAGCCAATAAGAAAGAGCCTTACCATATGCGCCCACAATATAGACTTCAACATCAACCCAGATAAATTCTCTCAAAGTCTGTTAAAAAGAAGAAAGGGTGATATTTAACTCCAGGCAGACAAAGGCGTATACAGTAATTTAGAATACGATAATAACTTGGAATCATAATATATAAATATAATAATAATAACTCAGAATACAATAACTTCAAGAAATAACCTTCCAAGGACAAAAACGAGGGATCTGGTGTTTTGGAGTAGGAGAAATTCTGCATGCTGAAGGACCACTGTATATGGAAACTAAACATTTCCATACGGTATATCCATACAAAACAAATGTTTTTTTTCCTCACACACAGGTAGTCCTTGACTTACGACCAAAATGGAGCCCAACATTTCGGTTGCTAAGCGAAACATTTGTCCAGGGAGTCTTGCCCAGTGGTGGGATTCAAATTTTTTTTTACTACCAGTTCTATGGGTGTGGCTTGGTGAGCGTGGTGCTCCCTGTTTGGTGATCCTACCACTGGCTGGCCCCGCCCTTCACCCACCCCTCCAGTCACTCCTCGCTTGGCCTGAGAAGGTAAAACACACACACACACAAAAACAGAAATGAGAGGGAGGGAGGAGGACACAGAGAGAGAGAGAGAGAGAGAGAGAGAAAGAGACCCATTTCCTACAGAAAACACCGGGAGCCACAAAACCTGGGTAGGCATGGTGGTGTGTGTGTGTGTCATGTGACTGGGTGGGAGTGGTGTTGAGTTGGCCACGCCCACCCAGGTTTTGTGGCTCCCAGTGTTTTGTTTTCTGTGGGAAATGGGTCCAAATGGCTGAGTGTTTTAGGTTGTAGGCCCCTGGCCTAGAGAAAGAACTATCTTCTGCTACCTAGAATCTGCCCACAGCCTCCTGATCGTGAGGTGAGAGCTCTACCACTAGGCTACCACACCGCTCTCTTGCCACGAAGTCTATATGTATATTAGGTAGAAATTTTTTTACCTCTCCGACGATCCTCATGGCTGAAACGTCAAGAAACGATACCGCTGAAAAATCAAGAATGATGCTATGAATATCAATCCTTGGAACTTTGATGTTGGGAGGCAGGCTTGCGTTCCAGTCGATCTGAATGGGAAAATCCTTGGTATTGATGGGTTGATTCAGTTCTTCGATCTTGTTGTTGTCCAGCTCTTCCTCCGAATCCGTCACACTAGTGACAGTACAGAGAAAACCTTTCTGAATGGAAGAAAAAGAGAAAGAAGGAAAATGTTCAGAATGCTCCTTAACCCTGAAAAAAGAGAAAATCGGAACATTTGACCTGCCAGTTTAGAAATTTAACTGTCTGGTTTGGTTCTGCAACCCAGTAGGACAGACACAGACTTCAGAGGACAATTAGGACTGCAGAAAAAACAATGGCTACCAACCTGCCTTCCATGGAGGACCTGTATACTGCACGACTCAAAAAGAGGGCTGTGAAAATATCTACAGACCCCTCACATCCCGGACATAAACTGTTTCAACTGCTTCCCTTAAAACGACACTTATAGAGCCCTGCACACCAGAACAACTAGACACAAGGACAGTTTTTTCCCCAAACGCCATCACTCTGCTAAACAAATAATTCCCTCAACACTGTCCAACTATTTACAAAGTCTGCACTACTATTACTATTAATTTTCTCATCACTCCTTATCGCCCATCCCCTCCCACTTGTGACTGTATGACTGTAACTTTGTCGCTTGTATCCTTACAATTTGTATATTGACTGTTTCCTGGTATGATTTGATGCCTAATTGTACCCTATGACTATTATTAAATGTTGTACCTGATGATTCTTGACTCTTGACGAATGTATCTTTTCTTTTATGTACACTGAGAGTCTATGCACCAAAGACAAGTTCCTTGTGTGTCCTATCACACTTGGCCAATAAAGAATTCTATTCTATTCTATTCTATTCTATTCTATTCTATTCTATTTTCTATTCTATTCCGTTCCGTTCCGTTCTATTCTATTCTCTGTTCTACTCTACTCTACTCTATTCTATTCAAGGTAAGTTGCTTCCTTGTATGTAAAGAAAATGTATGTAAAAAGATCGATCATAATTTTCCTGCTATTTAATTAATTCAAGATTCTTACCGGTGTTTGTTGTAGCTCTCCTTTCTTTAACATCTTCTTCATTTTCTTTAGAGCTTTGTTGCGTTTCTGTAACACCCTCAGCGGCTTAAAACCAACCTGAAATATGGTATCATTGTTTTAGCAGATATTTGATTATTTTTTTAAAAAAATCCTCCTATTACTGTGATGGCAAACCTATGGCGTGAGTGGCAGAAGTGGCACACAGAGCCCTCTCTCTGGACACGCGAGTCGTCGCCCCAGCTCTGTTCTGCTGCGCATGCGCCTCCTGTCGGCTAGCTGGTCTTCAGGTCTCTTCTGGGGGGGCAGGACGTTCACGGGCGCCGCGTATGCATGCGCGGCGAGTGAGGCACACACACAGGGGTCACACGTGCATACACGGAAGCAGGGCGCATGTGTGGGAGGATCGCGCACGCCTGTACGGGGCATGACATGCATGCTTGGGGGTCACACACGCATTCAATAGGGGCATGGGGGTGTCACATGCACATTTGCAGAGGGGCGCATGCATTTTGGGGGTGTGCGTGTGCATGTTTTGGGCACTTGGTGCCAAAAAGTTTAGCCAACACTGTCCTAGAATATGCTAAGTATCTTTTCAAGTGGAGAAGATGGACTTGATTTAAATTAGATTCTAGTTATAAGTTTAATTGCCCTGGGTGTCATCGACTTATGATCACAACTGAGCCCAAACATTCTGTCGCTAAGTGAGGCAGTTTTTTTTAAAGAGTTTTTATTTTTTTAAAAAAAAACCATACACATACAAAACATAAAACCAGAAAACAATCTTCCATTTTATATACATACAGTGTGTCAGTTGGTTACGAATCTTTTGTGCTATCCTTTTGTAGTCATTTACTCACAGTTTATATCAATTTTCACATTGTCAAACTAACATATGCTTATATATTTATCAGTTATTAATCATCCATGACTAAACTATTTATTCCATCATTTTATATGATATTCCAAATTTTATCTTAAAATTTATGTTATAATTTCAACCAATGGTTATATATGTCTATATTATGTTTTATATCAGTCTATTAAATTTCTATCACAGAATTGCCTAGTCTATTACATTACCATGTCTTTTTATCCAACCATTGATAAAACAAATCCCATATCATGTAAAATTGTTTATCTTCTTGTTCTCTCTAAGTGAGGCAGTTTTGAAGTGGGTTCTGCCCTTTCTGGCCACAGTCGTTAGGTGAATTACTGCCCTTGTTAAGCAAATATCAAGGTTGTTTGGTGAATCTGGCTTCCCCATTGAGTTTGCTTGTCAGAAGGTCACAAAAGGGGATCACATGACCCCAAGACATTGCGGCCATCATAAATACGAGTCAGCTGTCAAGCGGCTGAATTTTGACCCCGGGACACTGCAACCGTCATAAAGTATGAGTCAGTTGCCAAGCATCTGGATTTTGATCATGCAACCTCAGGGATGTGCAACAGTCGTAAGTGTGAAAAACGTCAAAAGACAGTTTTTTCTCAGTGCTGTTGTACCTTTGAATGGTCACTATATGAACTGTTGTAAATCGAGGACTACCTGTATAGCAATCTTAGATCTCTTTCTTTGACCTTTTGAATACTCTTAGCAAACATTCACACCTCAGCATTTGAAATCATTCTTAAGGAAAAACAAAGTAGAATTTTTGGGAGACACACATGTGTTTTCATAGATTTTCACGGGTACAGGTATGCAGGTCTTGGCGTGTTTGGGTCTTTTCCTGTGTAAGATTGAGAGCATCTGGGCAACATTTCGACGAGGTCCCACTCGCCATCTTCACACACACACACACACACACACACACATATATGTGTGTGTGTGTGTGTGCATATATATACATACATATATACGGATCTTTGGTTATTCGGGTTTTCTCCCGCGTAAAATTGGAAGTACCGTATTTATCGGCGTATAACACGCACTTTTTTCCCCCTGAAAATAGGGGGCAAATGATGTATGCGTGTTATACGCCGATATAATGTTAAGAAGCCTTCGGTGAATGCTGCTGGGATCGGGGATCAAGGACACAAATGAAAGAAGGGGAGGGAGGAAGCAACCGAAGCCTGTCCTTCTCTCTGGGTCAGCTCTCTCAGTCGCTCTCTCGCTCCTCCACCAGCACAGGAAGAAACTGCTTCAAAGAAGCCGGGGGGGGGGGGGG